GAGTGCCCTAGTGACTGGGCTACTAGAGGATGACTCTCACCTCCAAGCTCCTTTTTCTCAGCTAAGTCTCCTTGTGAATGGAGCTCTTTGTTTTCTGGGCTTTCATTAAAAATACTAGTTTAAATACTTGAAAACAAAATGTTTAATTTGGATGCATTAATAATTCCCCCCCCCCCCCCACAAGCCAAAATAACCCCAGATTTTAATTTCAGGTCAATGTGAAACAAATTTGTAAGCTATTTTTTCAGTTTGAGCACTGAATTTAAGGTATCAGTTATTCACATAATTCTAGCTGTTTTTCCAAATAAAATATCCAAAACTTAAATCTGGTGTTCTATTATGTATTTGATTAACTTTAGTAACAGTCCTTAGCTTCAAATAGTACAAAAGCAGAATGAAATTTGCTCTGAATTCTTCTCTTCAAATGGAGGAACTCTTTCATGTGAAAAACCTTTTTCAATATGTGCTTAGAGAGATTCTGTGAGGTACTGAATACAAGGTGGGAGAAGGCCATTAATTGGCCATGTTAATAGTGTGCAGCAGAGGGATGGCTCCTCAACCCTGCTTTAAATAACCATTTAAAACTTTTGGGAGGAGGGAGAAGAGTCTGGTAGATGGGGATTGCTAACCGTTTATTTTCTTCTTCTTCTTCTTCTTTTTTTGCTTTTAAAAGAAATATGACTCTGAAATATTTCCTGGGAAATACACTATTTGCTCATAACTCTGTGGATAAAATAGCAGCCTTTGTTATCATCTCACCCCAAAGTAATACTGCTGAAAATATATCCTCCTTCTGAGAAGTAGTGATCTTATATTATCATGAAGATATCCTGCAACTATTGTACAATACACTAATCAATTAACTACATTGTCAGATTATGTTAGTTAAGACTACCTGAAAGCTTTCTGTGCACAATAAAATAAGAGCGACTGTCAATATATTTTTCTAGAGTGTTGCAGAAGAATTGGAGCACATACTTTCTGCCCATCGTTATATTTTTTTTAAATTTAAACTAGCTATTCCTTGTATTCTCAATTTTTGTGAGATTTAATTCATTGTTTGTTCAACTAGCTCTAAAATTTGATTCAAACAGTTTTTGGTTAAGCAATAATTAAGTGGGAAGTCAGTGTCAGAATCATCACTTCTGCGGCTCCATTTGTTCACCTGTATTTTCTCCTTTTTTCCATCTTTATTTCCTGACCTCATTTTCTCCCCTCCCCCCCCCCCCCCCCCCCCCATCTTTTTTTTTTTTT